GGCTTGGCCATGTCGTTCGGATGGACAGAAACGCTCCTGCTCTGAAAATATTCAACGCGGGCCGCGATGCTGGTAACAGAGGAAGAGGAAGGCCTCCTCTGCGTTGGAAAGACCAGGTGGAGAAGGACTTGGCTTCACTTGGCATTTTCAATTGGCGTCAGTTAGCACAGAAGAGAAATGACTGGCGTGCTGTTTTGGACTCGGCCAAAATCGCTTAGGCGGTTACAGCGCCAAATAAGAAGAAGAAGAAACCTCTTACATGTAGTTTTGAAATTAAGCCCTCTCAAGACCATTTCAATTGACACCCATATTTTAATAATTCATTTAAATTATTGAGTAGTTTGAATTTAAATTTTTAAACAGTTGGCAACCTTTTTCATTCATTCAAAACCATTTAGATTCATACCAATCTTCTACAACAATATATATTTTGAAAGCCGTTTTTTATGTGTTCGCAAAGCTCGAGAACGGCCGAACCGATTTTTTTGAAATTTCGGATACCTTCTTCAGACGTCCCAAGGATGGTTATAGGCTAAAAATTTTGATACATGAAGGAGCGTGGCACTTCCCATACAAACCGATTTTCCATACTGCATATCTCTGGAAGTGTTCACGGTAGAACACTGGAACTTGGTACGGCAATATATGAAATCAATCTTATACTCATGGAGAAAAATGGGCTATTTGAAAAGGGGTCATGGCACCGCAAAAAAGTTTATATATAATTCTTGTGTCTGTGTGTTGGTGAGTGCAATCCTTCTAAATGCCCGGACCGATTTTAACGAAGTTTATTATGTACTTTTGAGTGGCTCTCTGGAGAGTGTAGTTTCAAAACTTCACCCGCCAGTTGGCGCTGTAGTGAAGTTGTTACTAAAAATTTTATTTATCATCCACTTCAAAATATTTATTGGTAATGGTAAAGGCAATACTATTGCCAAAACGGGCTGCCAGATAGCGTTGGAGTCATTACGAATAAACGCCAAGTTAGAAAAGGTGCCGTTAATGTCAAATTAAATCGACCGGTTGCGCCATTGAGTATATCGAACTCTTATGTGTTATGCCAGTTATGGACGTGATATGCCAGTATTATTATGCGTTAAAGCTTCATTCTGAGGCACCAGGGTTGAGTTGTACAGTGGTAAATTTCAAGTCACTACCGATAAATCAACCACCAGAACCATTGCGCGCCTTATACTGTGATATTTAAATTAAACTAATTGAATTTAGTTTTTAAAAATGTGGCAACCCTTGTGAAAGACTTAAATATTATACAAAACTCTCAAACCAAAGGTTTTTTAACAATATTTCGTTAGACAACCACATTTTAATTCTTCAGATAGGTTGCGCATAACCAATTTAAATTTGACTTTTCAAACAGGTGGCAACCCTTTTAAAAATATATTCAGCCCTCATCCATGAGTGGATAATGATTTTATATATCTCCGTATCAAGTTCCAGTAATATATCAATAATATTTCCTGAGAAATGCTGTATGAAAAATTCCGTTTGTATGGGAGATGCTACGCCCCCTTGTCTAATCGAGATTAAATTTATCCTATCTTTTAAGTTGGGCTAAATGACAGCAGTATACAAAATTTCATGATGATCGGTTGAGTAGTTAAGGCGTGAAAGCAAAGCAAACAAACAAACTCACTTTCGGATTTATAATATTACTAGCAGACCCGGCGAACTTCGTCCCGCCCAAAATTTTTATATATTTTATTGAAACTTTTTGGTCCAAAAGTTTCACCAACAATTCACGTTTACGATTTTCATTGGCCCATTTGTCTGGTAAGATTAAGGTTTGGTGGTCATTTTCCGCTTTAAATAACCTAAGGAAAGTGTTATATCCGTTCTTGAAATTCTCCAGTTGTGCGGCATTTCATAGCACGGTTATTCGCAAAGCGAAATACATTTTTTTCTCTTCACTCCCTGGCGGCAACAATGACCCGGTTCTATAGTGAATGTCCTAGAAACTTTACAGTATAGTAGGTGGCAATTTCAAAATGGGTGCGAATCATTGTTCTACAGAAATACATATACTTGTTTTAGACGAAATACCTTAAAAGTTTGAACGCATAATAATATTGGAAAATCACAGCCATTGGGCCAATTGCAACGCAGGACCGTCGATATACTCAATGGTGCAACAGGTCGATTTAATCTGACCTTCACGGCCCCTTTTCTCACTTGGCTATTTTTAGTAATAGCTCGACTTCAGCACCACTTGGAAGCACGTTTTTGCAATAGT